GAGAGAGAGAGAGAGAGAGAGAGAGAGAGAGAGAGAGAGAGAGAGAGAGAGAGAGAGAGAGAGAGGAGGGAGAGAGAGAGAGAGAGAAACTGACTTTATCACCGGCCAGAGCGGAGCTAGATATTCGATTTGGTGGCAAGTCGGGGATGGTGGCGTTACCTGGCGCCTTTCCAACAATGTGTTCACACTTTTTACCTCGCGATAAATTCGCGTGCCGCGTCTCATGCATCGATAGTCCAATAGTTTCCTCGATCGTTACGGCGACCATGAGAAACTTATCCATCATTTCATTTTTCTTTCTTCTTCGATGGATCAAAATTCGAGCGTCACGAAACCTGGGGCAAAAAAACGAAACAAATTTTAATTCTTGTAATTTTTGCGTGTCTTGCGCGTTTATCGAGACACGAGTGAGATTCTTTCGATTCGAGCATGACGTAAATCTAAAAAATTTACACATAGATATTTGATATATTAATCATTAATGAGGCTAATCCGATTTACGCCGTGTCTTAATTCATTTTAATTGAAATAATCCTAATAATTATCAACAATATCTGTATTTACTGATATAACTGATATCGCGTAAAGATAAGATGAAAAAGAATCTGAAAAAAGAAATTGAATTGTTCTTTATCCCATGATTATTTTTCTTTCATAGTATTTTTTTTAAGATAAGTCTATCTCACTTTTCCTCGCATACTACGTTAGATTTAGACAGAGATTAAAAAAGATTCACAATCAGAGACGACTGTCATTCTGACGCCAACAGTCAATTCTCTCCATAATAAAATTTTAAATAAACAGTCAAATTTCCTATGTAATTCACAACGATCCTTTAAATAAAATAAAATCTTTTGAAAGAATGCTCAACTCTTAGTATATAATACGCACAATCAAAAAAAGAAAAAAGAAAAAAGATAGCCAAATTCATCTTTTTTTGGTGCAAATAATTTACGCCAAAAAGTGAATTCCTGATCGAGAAACATTTCGTAATCGAAACGTATATTTTTCGAGCGATCATTATTTATTAATTAATCGACATCCCACGGCCGATTCGATTCTTGAAACGAATTTCAATTCTCCGATGATGGGCCGCATTACGCATTTGTCAATCTCAATTGCCCGAGGTGGAAGTACATCACGATGTATCCACATCGATGACACGTGTTTAATCACACTTGGATGAAAGCCCACCTCCTCCCCGAGCTTCGATTATCGGTTTCGTTTTCGTGTCGGCGTCAAATCATTTGACACACAAACCGAACTGGCCCCCCCCGGGGCCAATGCCGTTTCGACAAATGGCAAACATTTCGCGGACACGCGCTTTGACTTTTAACGAGACGAGACAAGTATTCCCGCGATTCTCTCTCTCTCTCTCTCTCTCTGTCGAAAAACTGGCATCGACTGAAAATGAAAACGAAGTTTTCACTTTTTCATCCTTCGATTCCGCGATATCGTTTCACTTCACGAGGAGGTTGGACGACGAGGTGTCCTCCGAAAGTAATTCAGCGGAAGGGCACGTCGAAGATCGTAGGAGGGAAAATGAAATTCTCCCCATTGTAACGGGGAAGTTTCTCAATCTCGCTGGACGCGACCGCCCTTCTATCACGCCGATAATTAACTGCCTAACAATTTTTCTCGGCTCAATTTAAACTTTATTAATGAAGGGGCCATGCCTCATTAAACCGTCGCCCTTAATGATTCCAACGACTCGTCTAATCCTATCACGATTTACCATCCTTCGCGTTCGCCTCCTTCTTCCGTTCAGAAGAACGGTTCCGAAATATTTCGTCTATTACTCTTCGTGTTGATTGAAAAAAAAAAGAAAAAAATTGACGATAAAAAATCAACAGTTTCAAAGTGATTGATATTTCGACGAGAGAGAGAGAGAGAGAGAGAGAAACGGCGAATTTATTTGTGAAAATAATCGTGGAATTCATGAGCAGCATTCCGGTTGAATAATTAATATCGGATACAATTAAATTGATACAATTAAACTTCGGAATCCACTTTAATATTCGAACGAGTCGAAGAAGAAATCTCGCTTATTATGCGCATTGATCGTATATGCACATGTATCGAGTTACATTTTCGCATCGGCAACTTCCTACATTAATTTCATTCCACCCTAAAACTGCCATTCCCAGATTTCTGCCAAGTTTTTCCACGAAGTTTATTCCTTCGAAGCTCGTCCGTATTTTTTACTCCCGACTTTTCTTTTTCTTTTTTCACTTCTCATTTCTTACTCATGCTCGACTTCGAACCGGTCAATTTTTCATCTCGAATTTGAATTCCTCTCGAATCTTACCACCGAATCAAACGCTTTTAAAAATTTGCTTGGGAAAATTTTATCCAGCGAAATTCGTTCCATGCATAAATGCAGAAATCAGGATGATAAAAAAAGAAAATCTCTTTCAGCAATTAGATGCAGAAGAGATAGCATAAACATTTTCTCGCTAGAAAGCCCAAAGGCGGGTGATCAGCGTTGTGAACGATATCAAAGAATATTTTCCGGCACGAGACAATATCGAGGCATTTCGCGTCGTTACAATAGCTTTCGAGCTCTCTAACGAGAGAATCATCCTGCACGACGAATCTGATCGCAACTGGCGAATGTATGGCCCGGGTAAAATCAAAATCTCAGAAGCACAGATAGATTTAGGGGCACGAAGATGTGCAAATGCGCAACAATGAAAACCGATAAAAGTGATATGAAACATATCGAAAGTTTAAAATAGAAGACGACAAATCGTAGTTGCGATAAGAAATTGCTGGAAGAGCGTAAAAGAAAATACCAATTTCTGATAAGATAAAATCGATAAAGAAGAAGAAACCGTAATCGAATTATAATTTTGCGATTATAATATATTTGAAATTGTTGCCAGAATCTCGAGCAAAGATTTCGACCACGACGTACCAACAACGTAAACTCTCTTAATTATTTTCGTTCGTTTACCTTTCCAAAGCAGCGAAAATTGCCTTTTTTCCTCGAGCTCGTAATTTCACTAGTCTCCTTCCTTTCATTTCATCCGATTTAAACGCCTCACTTTGCCGATATCATAATACTCCTCCCTCCCTTCCGTCCCTATTCCAATTGAAAAATAACAAAAAATTTACCAAGGTTTTTCTGCGATTGAAATAATTAATTTTTCTCGCGATCGATATATCGGTATCTTACATCGTTGCATCGTTCATCGAACAGCGCGTATATACGTTGCACGTAAGGTTTTCGCGTCGATTCGTGACAAAGAAAATAACCTATATTTACAGGTTCGTGGAAGAAGTGTCGCCACTATCGATCTGTAATGAAATTACGGGTTTCAACCTTGTTCCCTTGTTGCTTGGCATTCAGCTGTTTGAAAATGTTCAATGCCTCAAAATGTTACACATATGCGTATAAGATAGCGCAGCACGCGTTTCGAAAATTAATTCTTCCGATAAATGCGCGATTAAAAGCGTTAATTTCGCTAACATCAAAATCTATCAATGATTCAAATAATTTCCAGACGCACGATGCGACGACTGAACGATTCGCAATTCAATTTTTTTTCTCTCTCTCTTTCCTTTGCCTTTTCGGAGAAAAGGGATCTTCGATTTTTCTTTTTTTTTTTTCTTTTCTTCCTTTTATTATATCAATTCATTTCGCAGAATGAATTTTCATTCCTGCGTGGAAATATAAACGTGACGCACGGTAAATGTGATTGCCCCTTATATGCCGGCAACGTTAATTTTCGTGAAACGCATCCGGTGTTTACCGGCGCAATAAAAATTCCTATTTTTACCAAATTGATTGCGTATTCGAAAAGCACTCGAATCCGGCGGCCGAGATCGAGCGGGCTCGAATTGGCGAGAAGGAGTGGGGGAAAAAAAAGGAAGAGGCTCGATCTTGATGTTGGCATTTGTTCTTCTTGTTCACAACAGCATCGAACTTATTCCGACAGACTTTCAAAATTCACGGTTTTTTTGCAATTAACTTAATTAATTATCCAACAATCCCTGTTGAAAAAATCAATCAAAATTCATCATGTGTGACCACTGCGCGTAAGTAGAGACGACGAATGCGGTCGAATAAAAACGATCGTGCGATCGTATGCCCGATTAAATCCGTTCCCATTTCTCCACAGAAAAGTTACGAGTCAGAAGGGATACGCGGGCCAGGTGACGTGTAAATGCGAGCAGTGAGTAACATTTTCTTAACTTAAAAAACGTGTTCATCGAAAATTTGCTACATAATAATAATAATAATAATAATAATAATTTTGTGTCATATTCGTAACGCAGCGGTGACAAGAGGATGGGCGAACTCAAGGAAAGGGACTTTGGAGGATGTTGCTCGAGGAAGTATGATATCCAATATTCTTTCTCTTTTTTTTTTCTTCTTCTTCTTCTTCTTCTCTCAATATCGTACGCACAATTTTTGTTTCTTTTCTAAAAAAAAAAAAAAAAAAAAAAATAATAAATCCAACGCACACCTGTATGGCCGCCAGCATAACGAGAGAGAGAGAGGAGAGAGAGAGAGAAGAAACGTAAGAACGTGTGGTGGGAGGGGGGG